GGAGTTACATGGCCATGAGTCTTATAAATAAGACATGCCATTTTGCTCAACTAAGTGTGTTCCTCCACATTTTCCTTTTTTTTTTTTTTTTGCCTTACTTTATCTTCTAAATATTCTTGGACAAGAAAGGGTATTTTGAGTTAAGTGACTCTTTGAGTAATGCAGATTCATAAAGTGTTATTATAAAGTTATAGCATCTTGGGAGTGACATTCTATCTATACTTCTACTACACCGGTAGATTTACTCTCTACAAAGATGTGAATCAGTTTAAAGTAAGTAAGCTTTTCACACCTATTTCAATGATATTTTTTTATTGATATTTTTTTATAAGTTCACTAGTTATTATTTTATTTAATTTTATGGTTGAGGTGCAACAATAACATGACATGGTGATGGAGAAGAATGTTCTATGAACAAGTTGTTCCTTTAAGACTCAAAACCTTTGATGAAGTTTTAATTACTGCATAGGTTGTTGAACAAGACTAGAATAAGCAGAAACAAGAAGGGGGTGATTAGAAAAGCAAGGGAAAGGTTGTGACGACTTCACAAATTCAAAAGAAGACAAAATGGGAGGGAAAAAGAAAGGCAACAGAAGGATTTAAGCAAACATTAGAGAGCTACCAATAGTGTGGTAAAAATCATGAAGGCAGAGAATGCTATTGGGCCAATGGTGCTCATTTTAAGTGTGGTAAAACCAAACACCTAATCAAGGACTATCCAACTTGGAAGACAAGCACCCAACAAGCCATGGAGGTTACAGAAAATAAAAGATAAAAGGCGACTGGAAGGGTATTCACACTTATTAAACAACAACCACAACAAAAACCCACTGTTATCAGAGGTACATTGATACGAACTACGCCAACCTGTGACGAAACCTGCAAACAAGACAAGGCACCAAGACCGTTTCTAAGACAAGTTCGAGACGATGGAATTGCGACCCATTACCTATGATGAGGTAAGAACCTTGGTATGGAGAAGACGCCACAATCAACTATGGAAGGGTTGACTGATAAGTCAAGGATGAACGCCGCGGATAATTCCGATAAGTTCGAAAAGTTGTTCAAAGAATCAGAGAGAATTCGTTATCACAATGTTGATGAATAATGATCTGTTTTACAATTAGGGTTGCAGCCCTGTAAGTAGCTAAAACTAATCCTAACTAGAATAGAAAACTAACAAACCAAGTCCTAACCCTAATAACCACGAATTTGGGTTTCAACTAAATGAATGTTTAGCCCAAATAAGACAATAAACGTAAAAATAAGCTAAAATAACTTAAGAACATCGAAAATATTACTTTGCAGCCAACTACGGCAGATTTGACGCAAACTGTGTAATTCAACCCAAGAAAAAAAAATTTTGGCATGCAAGCCAAAGTCCAAAAAGGAAAGTAATAAATTTGAACCAAAATGCTTGCTGAGTTCACGCCCAAAGTTCATGACCATTACTTGCAAAGATTAGGCTTGGTTTTGACAGAGTCTTCTAGAACTTGGATTAGGCTGATGTAATTCTAAGGCTCACATGGACTTCCCTCAATCGGCTTCCACGAATTTGCTTCAGTCCATATTTCTCGAATCGGCCCATTAAGCGCTTCCTTGAACTTCTTAGCTTGAGCCCTCGTAACTGGTCCAACGAGAACTTGAATTGAATCCTTTAAAGTCAAACCTGGATTTACATCATACATAGTCAATCTCTTCTAGACTAGCCTATGTTTTAATAGATCTTGGATCTGCACATTCCTTTACTACTCCTAAATATGTTTCATATTTGCATGAAAAGTCTAGCAAACTAAAACACATGTTGGCAATGAGCATACCATCTAGGAAAACTTTATTTTCTCAAATTGATTATAAGGACTATTCAGTTATGTTGGGTGATAGAAATATGCCAGTAGACTTGGTTCTGCTAAGGATAGAAGAATTTGGTGTTATTTTGGGGATGGACTAACTAACTAGACATTTTGCTATGGTTGACTGTTTTCATAAGGTAGTCACATTTCATGCTCCAAATTAGCCTATAGTTGGGTTTCAAGGTGAAAAACGAAATGATAATCCTATGTTAATTTCTAACGTATAAGCAAAAAGATTTTTACAACAAGGTTGTTAGCAATATTTGGCTTATGTGTTTGAAAATAAAGAAAAGCCAATTTTTATTGAGGGAATCAATGTAGTAAAGAATTTTGCAGATGTATTTTGTAAAGAATTACTAAGACTACCTCTGTAAAGGGAGATAGAGTTCACAATAGATCTAGTTCTTGGAACTACCCCTATTTATTAACAACCTTACAAAATGGCACCCATGAAATTAGTAGAATTGAAGAAACAATTGCAGGAGTTGCTTGATAAAGGCTTTATCAAATTAAGCACCTCGCCTTAGGGAGCGCCAATTCTTTCTGTGAAAAAGAAAGATGGGTCAACAAGGCTTTGCATTGACTGAAGAAAACTTATCTAGGTGACAATCAAGAATAAGTACCTATTTCCAAAGTACATGACTTATTTGATCAACTTCAGGGATAGAAGGTGTTTTCTAAAATAGACTTGAGGTTAAGCTATTACCATCTAAGAATTAAACCAGAAGATGTTTTGAAATTAGCTTTTAGAACTAGATATGGAAATTATGAATTTTTGGCTTTGCCTCTAGGATTAACCAATGCTTCCACTATCTTTATAGATTTGATGAACATAATTTTTCAATTGTACTTGGATAGATTGTTTTTGTTTTCATTAATGATATTTTAATTTACTTACCAAATGAAGAAACACACAAAG